GAGAAGAACTCGAGGATTTGCACAAAGAAGTTCCCAAAGAATTTGATTTAATCGATACCCACACTACTACTAGCGATTATAGTTCGGTTATTTCACTACCGCGTGCTACAAGTACTGTACCCGATGATTTGTTAGAGTCATCGTACACAATCACAAGTGATGACAAAGAGAGTCCCCCAACGGAGTTATCTGTTACTAATGAAGAAGATAGTCTGAAAGAACCTATAATTGAAGATGAGCATACCAGACCGAGAAGACTGTCGATAAAAATGTCCGAAATTAACGAGACTCCTTTTGAACTCAAAGAAACGACTCAACTACTCGAAGTTGAAACTGAAGAAACGTTACATTTAAAACCGACTCAAGTATTTGACATCAGTAAAGAATCTGTTAACATATCAGAGGTGGAGCCTCTTATTGAAACTGAAACCGTAAATAGCAGGAGTGCAGAAGTTGAAAGTTTAGAGGTTGATGCTGTGCATAGATCCGAAGTAACGGAGAAGTCGCACGAGGTTGATGAAGTCGAAGCATTAGGGGCGGAAACTAAAGAATCTGATCATCCGGAAGAAATGGAAGAACCAAAAGTATCTGAAGCGGAGATTAAAATATCGGAAGTAATTGAAGAAGGTAAAACAATTGAAGAGATTGAGGTCGAAGAAGTTAGCCATAATGTGGAGGAGTCAATTACGACTGATATTGTGACTTCGGAGGAGATCGAAGAGCAACCTCTTCTTCAGGAATCTGTGATAGTTGACGATGTGCCTTCTTTGGCAGGTGATGTTTTTGATAACGGCCAACACACGGTCGAGGATTTGTCCGCGTTAACGACTTTGGCGGCCGTTTCCGAACTATCAACCAATCTAACTGTATCGACGGCTCTTAATGAGAAATCGAAAATTATCGAGGACAATTTGACATCGATCGATAAAGGTAATCTCAATTTTGTTACGATGGACGATTTAGCCGAAGGACAAGTGGAAATTTCGGACGTTTGCGTTTCTAAGGTAAAATCGAGTCCGATGAATTTGATGAACTTCTCCGTCGATTTCGGTGATTCGAGTAGTCCGGTGTCTAGCGGAAAGGTGGCGTCTCCCGCTTCGAATGTGAGCGAGGAGGAGATTCATCAGCCGGATTCGATAGAGATGTCGTTGGGTAAGGTGTTTGAAGGCGAGAGTGAGGTGTCGAAAAGCGACTCGCAAGGCGGCGAATTGAAGGAAAAGGGCGAAGAGCAGACGTGCAGCTCCGTAGTTTCGAGCAATTCTAAACCATTTTTAAAGAAACCAAGAAAAAGTGTGTCCGAGAAGTTTAAACCGCCCGAATATTCTAGTTCTTCGAAGTTATTGGAGATCTTGACGGATTCGAAACCGAAATCTTTGCATTCGGATGTCGGTGAGCAATTGCCGAAAACTGTCGCGGCACTATGTGTGGAATCTCCTTCGAGTACGCTTTTGTCGAAGTGCAAAAGTGAAAAATTTTATTCTACAAAAGAATCTGTTCCTTTCACCAAGCATTTGCTCAAGGGCAAAGAGATCCCGAAAGAAATTAATGTAAGTCAAGTCATGGCCAAACCGAAGGACGAGAAATATAGCATATCCAAGGACAATTTGAGTATCGCTAAAAATGTTAAGTACGACAGCAAGAATTCTAAATTCATTTTAAAGCCGACAGCGAGCATTAAGTCGTATTCGTCTAATAAAAGCTGTAAGCCCGTTATACTTTCCGAAAAAATAATTAAAAGAATGCCCGAAACACAAGAGGGGGTCTCTGTGCGGAAAGTAACGTCAAATAATGCTCAGGATTTTGAAGATATTGACGCGTACATTATTCAGAAACCTTTGAAAAAGGTTATTCCAAAGGAAGAGGAGGAGGTTACCGATCCACCGGCGACTAAGAAAGCGGTACCTACCAAAGGAAAGGCCAAAATATTGCAACAAACCATCATCAAACCTGCAACTGCCGAATTGACCCAACAGTCTCAAGATGATGCCATGTTTGATATCAATTCGATGCCCATCGTCTTGGGGGATCAAATTCTCACGACCGACGGTATTGAAAAAATGCCCGTCGTTATATCCGAAGAGCAACAAGCTCCAAAAACTACGGAACAGCACGTGTTAATATCAAACAAGGCGGTGACACCTCAGCCTCTTATTCTTAAGACTTACTCTTCGCAGAAAGTTGGTAAATCGCGCATCTACCAGCCCACGCCGACTACTACAACAAAATTAATAAAGTCGAGTCCGACGATTATATCCAGACCCGGGAAGCAAGATAAGTATATCATCCTGCCGGGTACCACTACTTCGGCCACTTCTAAGTATGCCGTAGCTAAGAGGCCCGGGGCTACAAAAAGGATGACCCCGGTCATACTACCGACTCCAAGTGTCGCGTCGAAGTTACAAGCTACAACTGAACCTTCCGGTAATAAAATTATGATCGTGACAAATCAACAGGGGCAACAATCTCGCGTTTTACTAACTCCCGCGCAACAAAAAATTTTCGGGTATCCTAACACAAGTTCGAAATTAGTAAAAAGTACAATCAAAGGTAACATTCTGCAGAAGACCGGCGCAAGGACGTCGTCTCCCATAACTAAAATACAACCGCACGGTGGCGGTGAGATCACAACTGCGTCTCAAACGATAATGAGTACTGAGCCGGTGTTGGTTTCTGTTAAAAGTTCCCCCCTGAGACCAATTAAATCCGATCTTTCTAAAAATCGCAAGTTTCAAGTGCAACATCAAAAGGTTCCTCTTCAGGAAGGGCTGAGCACGTTTAAAAATAGTACACTACCCAGCCAGCAGAAGATGATCATTATTAAAAATCAACAAGGTCAGATCGTGAAAAGATTTCAAGGCACCGACGATGCATTGTTAGAGCAACAGGTTGCGGAGCAAGTGCAAGCGATAAAAGCGAACAGCGGTAGTTTTAGTCCGATGAATTTGACCACCAAGGTAAAGCCGCCGGTAAAACGTACATACATTAAAAAACCGGAAGCTCAAAAAAGTACGAAGGTAGCTACTAAAATTGTAAAAAGCGAAAGCGTTCCACCCCTCGCGCCTATATCACCAAAGAGGACGGATACACTTTTGCTACCGCAAACTGTCGTGAAAGGTGATGCCCCCTCACAAAAACCTGAAGCCGTCCAGCAAAAACCCCTGAATCAATTGATCATTCAGGACGCCCTTGGTAATCAAACGACCATCATGGAAGGGCAAATACTGGCGCTTCCAAGTGGAGAAACGGTCGATGGCCAGCCTCAGTCGTATATGCTCGTCACTCTTGACGAATCGGGAAATTTGGCACCTTTAAACAATGAAGCTTTGTTGTCTTTAGATCCTAATTTAACGCTAGGAGGCGATTTAAGCAATATGGTTCTGCAATTAGACGATGGAGCTGCGAAAAAGAGTCTAACGAAACTGGAACCGTCGCCTGCGCTCAGTGAAGCGTCGAAATCCGTCGAAACACCCGAATTACCAAAGACAGAGGCCTTGATTGAGGCGGTAGCGACACCAAAATTGGAGACTGAACCGTTACCTTCCGTCGATCCGCAACCAAACGTGCAAACGGTCACGTGCAGCATCAATAACGACCCCAATCAGCAACTTATAATAACGGGCGATCCGATTAGCACTCAGAAGTTCATCGAATCGCTAACAGAGGGCAACGCCGACCTAGCGAATCTTTTGGCGAGCGCCGAAGGCAACATTTTAATTCAAACCGACGAACAACAGATACTCATAAACACCGACTCTGAGAATCAAGTCCTGCTACCGCTCGGTTCGGAAAGACTCGACGCTCCCGAGAGCGACTCGAACCCGATTTTCGCCACTCAGCCCGTAAAAAATCAAGACATTCTGGCAGCGGCGTTGGCCGATACCGACGTATTCCAACAAGAACAAACCGTATCTCCGATACACAATAAGCTCGGACCGTCGCAACTGAGTCCGAACAGTGGGTTATACCCAACCGGTGTCGCTAACGTTCTGGAAACCACCCTCAGTCTCAGTTCCCCGATAATGACACCGTTAGAAGTTCCTAGCACTAACAATAAAAAGATTCCCGACGAAGAAATGGACATTCTTACTACGGAAGTACCGAAAAATGTAGATCTACCGATTACTATTACGGATCCGAACATTTCGCAGACCGTCGCACAACAGCAGGTCGTTTCGCTGATGACGAACGAGCTGGGGGCTAATTTGGAATTACCCCTACCGCTTGCCGACCAAGTGGTTGTACCCGCAACCGAAATGCACAGTCCCTCGTACGGTTTTCCTCTATCGTCGTTAGAAGACTCGGTAACGGGCGTGGACGTACAAAAATCGTTCAGCGGACCGATTTCCATGCCGCTTTTAACGGAAGACGACCCTCAAGAATCAAGTGTGTCCGAGGTCACTATCGAGTGTAGCGAAATAAGCGAAGAAATCGACAAGGAGGACATGATGGAAGATGACTGCTTGAAGAAGAAAATTAAACGGACATCGTTATTAGAAAGTACGGATAGTATTATAAAGGACGACGCGAAATCTCTTACGGCGAGAAGCTTTTTGGGAACGCCTATGACGTCAGAGGAAGGGTTATGTACTTTGGGAGGAGCCATGTGCAGTTCGCTCAGCGAGCCGCCGCCGGACATGTTTGATTTGTCCATAGTTAGTTCGCACTTTGTAACCGGCACCGATATCAAAACTCCCGAGAGAACGGAATTGATCGAGATTCCGAAATCGACAACGCCAGAAGTGAATGAAAACAGTCAAGAATTCGAAAGTTACGAAGAAAATAAAATCGACAATGACGCGCCTCTAAGATCCCCCGTCGATTCACCCGCAGTTCATATTGACGAAAATTCTTGCGAGATACCGGTGCAACCGCAAATTGTTACCGATCTAACGTC